TGCTCCCGGGCCAGGGCGATCGGGGCGGCGGGCGCGCGCGGCGCCTCGGCCTTGTCCTCGTCATCCTCGTTGCTCTGGTCACCGTCGTGCTCGTCGATCTTATCGATGTCGATGCTCTCCAGGTCGATCTCCTCGTCGTCCTCCGCCTTCTCGGCGTCGCCCTCCGTGTCGCTGCCGAAGAGGGCGCCGTCCTCCTGGTCCTTGCTGCGTGCCCCCCACGTCACCTTGTTCTCCTTCTTGAGGCGCCGGCGCGCGTTGGCGAACCAGGTGGAGACCTGCGTGAGGGTCATCTTGGTGATGATGGCCAGCATGATCTTCTCACCCTTGGTGGGGTAGGGGTTCTTGCGGTGCTCGTTCAGCCAGGCCTTCAGCGTGCTGGTGCTCTCGCGAGTGGCGTTCTTGGGCCTCCCGGGATCCCCGTACTGGAACTGGCCGTAGGGGTAATAGGCTGGGGCCGTGTGGGCTGCAAAGGTGGCCGGGTGTACCCCAGGGTTGTCCTTGAGTTCATACTGTGAGCCCTGCAGCCGAGGCAGGAGCAGGAGAGGGGAGGGAGGGAGAGAGAGGAGGAAGAGAGGAGGAGAGGAGAGCAGAGATGAGAGAGGAGTAAGAGGCAAGTCCCTCAGAGTTGGGAGTATCAGGCAGCAGCCCCCAGCGGCTCCAGGGTCCTCCCAGCACCAGGTCCACTGGGGTCCCCGCCTGTTCAGGGGGACCCTAGCACTGCTCCCCAGCATAGAAGACCCGCCACCGAACCACTACTAAAAAGCCAGAGACTCCAGGGACTGAGCTGCCCTGCCACCAGAATCTTTTTATTTTTTTTTTGTCACTCTAGAAAAACCTCAGGAAACCCACCATTTCCAGAAGAGCTCAGCAGGAGCCTGGCCCCTTGGAATGTCCCTGAGCCCCCTAGGTCTCTACCAGCAGCAGCTCTGGGTTTCCAAGTTTATCTTAGCTAGCTGGAGGAGAAAACCTTTCAACTAGGCTGATGAAACAGTTTCTCCAAAAGCGGCACCCCTTCTCAAGCCTCCCTTCTGCCCTGAAGGGGTCAATCAAAATAAAACTTCTCAAGGTTTTTTTTTTCCCAACTCCAAATCTGCCAGCATTTTAAAATGAAATCAGCACTCCTTTCACCTCCAAAAGTAATCTGCACAGAAGGGTTTGCCCACACTTACAGGCCTGTCCTGGTGACAGGTAATTTAAAATTTTAATCCCAGTCATCAACAACAATAACAAAAGCACCATTTTTTAAAATACAAAAGGAAGGCTTATCCTGTAAAATATTAACTCGGGGGAGAGGGCCCGGGGAGCTGGCCTGCAGCAAGAAGGGAAACCTGTTCCGTTTCCTGGGCCTCTTCTCTCTCCTTACTTTATCCCTTAAATTTGACTTTGATCTGGAGCAGGCAAACACAAACTGTTTGCAGGCAGATAGAGGCACTGATTTTATCTGCAATCAATATTCTTTTTATCATCAGCAGTAAAACACAGCAAGTCAAATTACCCCATCAGGTTTTTTGGTAAATAACATTTTATCTTTCTAACAACCTCATTAGGCCTCATTATCAACATAAATTGCTCAGACAGATGCTGGCTCACAATTTTATCTTTGGACTTCCAAATACCCGACCTTAATAGCTAGGAACAGAGGCCTAGAATCCCAGCTTGGCTTTCGGCTTCCTTTCCGTGAACCCTACTGGGGACCTTCAGATAACACAAGCACCTCAGGACTGTGATTTAAATATTCTCCCCTTAGTGAAAGAAATCTAGCCTTGGCCGTTCCCACTTCACCACAAAAGGAGAATCTCACTGCCTAGCTCCCTCCCTGCCTCCCCAGCAGGCACAAGGGCTTCCCCAGTGGCTGGTAACTGTGTTCAAAATTTCAGCTGAAAAAGAATCCTCCAAATCAAAACCGTCCAGCGACTGAGCTAGTGGCTGGCAAACTTGGGAAGGGTAGATTTCTTTGACTAATTACAGTACTTTGGTCATTGAGGCCACCCAGAACAGCCCCAGTGCCCAGATTTCGTTTCTGCTCCGTTTCAGCAAAGTGTAACTTAGGTTTTTCCAATGGTTATGGTTGTAACTGTAAGAAAGAGATTTAGGTTTTTCCAATGCTTTTGGTTGTAACTGTAAAGAAGACATTTCGGCCTTGCCTCTGCTGGGAATTCTTTTGAAAGGACACCTAGTAAATCTCTCCTGCTCGCTTCCCGGCTGTCCGGCCCCAGAACAAATGGGAGCTGCTCTTTCTGGATAGCGAGCGAGCCGGAAGGCAGCTGGGCCGGCTTCAGAGAAATACGCTTGCTTTCAAAACTACAAGGAAAGTTGCAGGGAAACGCGCCCGCAGCTCGGCTCTGCGCCGTTGGCGGATTTCAGTCCCGGTCTCCGAGTTTCGGCGGAGCACCACCGGGGCCTGGAATCGCTATCGGCTGCAGCGACCCGGAGGGGCCTCCCGCCGACACCACCCTGAGGATCCGCGGGGAAAGGATCCTTGGCCCAGGCCGCCTCCCTTGGGCACCTGGGTCGGAGAGGGACACCACTTATTTTAGGCGCAGGGACTGTTTTCTTTAATCCTCCATTACGTAACGCGGGGAGAAAAGTGCTTTTCTTTCGGTGCAAATGAAACGAAAACTTTGGCAACTTAGGAAAGTAGAAACAAACACCGTTTCAGGCTCCAACATTTATTTCAGCCCCGCATTTTTAATCTGCGTCGCACCCACGCGCGAAGAGACCTCCAAAGCGGCCGATCTCTGTCTATTGTTCGGGTCATTCTGACGAACTCTACCGGGCTTCCAAGGATCCCTCCGGCAAACTCCGAAACAGCTACCCGGGCTGTGCCAAGGCCTGGGGGACCGACTCCTCCTCCCGGATCGGAGCTGGCAAGGCCGGGAGAGGAACCCGGTGAC